AGACTTTTTGATGAAAGTAAGATTTTACCACATGGCAGAGTTGGGGATGGCAGTTTCAGCATAATGTGACACTTCCAAACCGTGATTTTGGAATGATGACAATAACGGTTCCAAGGTGGCTCTGTCTTTGGTGCTGAAAAAGATTTGCGAATCTTATAGGTAATTTCAATAAATTTTTCGATTCCTCAACAAAAAAATGGAGTGAGCAAAATAACGAATGGTGTTTCAGGAACTATGAAAAGTTTAAGATAAGCAGAACTAAGAAGTTTTGAGAAAAGGTTTTTTTTCTGGAATCTTGCATTGATTATTATAGCGATTCTAAACTTCTCATCAATATTATTACGTGAATATGCAAAAGGCTATAAAGCTAGTGCGTTGTTATAAACTTTTTACAAAGATAGACCAGAATTATGGCACGCAATCTCATTTTCACGAGGAATTAAATTTAGAAAAGTGAGTAAGGAATTTGGCCGTCTGTTGTTTTCAAGTTTCATATTTGACATTATCAAGAACATACTTCTTTTGCGAACTAACAAAGGTGTAATGTTAATGTTGCTTAACAATGTTAGCGATGCCTATTGATGATAAGATTATTACTATATGCGGCCTTAGAAAGTGTTCAAACCTCTTCTCTCTCTTATGGAGCGTCCCTAAGAGTTAAGAAGGGTTTTCAATAAGTTAGAAGATTCAGAGACGCTTGAACTTCATCTTTCTTTAAAAGCTCCCTTGTTTTGCTTACTTGTGATTTTTTCAAGAATGAGCCTTACATTGTTTTTATTCAAATTAGAGATTCAGAGCATCAATGACGGATTAAGTACACTGTAAGACCATCGACAAATTTCTTTCAGATATATTATTACTTTAAACAGTTCTGTTTACCAGGTATAAGATAGCACACATACTCCCCATATAAGGCCTTACTTCTTGATCGCGCCTAATTCTTTCTCCTTTCTACGTATACTCTTGTAAAGAAATGGCTCGATATTGCATTAGTAGTTCGTGATTAACTGATTGAATTTATCCTACAAGTCGCTGTTTTCACAAACTACTCATGTCAGTTCATTACTCTGGCTGCTCGTATAACTTTTATCAGTGAGAGAATCATCCAAAGATCTATTTTTCTTCACATAAATCCCTCAGAAAAAGCATTTATAAAAGGGTTTCCTTTTCAAAGAAATTACAATGCCCTGCCTATCATATACACTATAGCAACCCCGGTTAATTTGGTCTGTTTGATGGATACCATTTGAGGATAAACGCGGTGCATTATACTAGGGAAAATAGTCTCTTTACTTTTTTTACGGGCGAA